TAAAACCCTGGTTCCCCTCCACAGCAAACACACACACACACACACACACACACACACACACACACACACTATATGCAGCCTGTAGGGTGTAGCCTGAAGTCTATATTTTAGGATGAATATATATATATATATATATATATATATATATGCGTCTCTCAAGTTCAGTGATGGTTTTCTGTGGTTAAGGTCTGCAGTCTTTCAGGCCTAGTGATCTACAGAGTGAGCTCAAGGCCAGCCTGGGTGACTTAGTATAACTAATAGTGTCACAAAATAATGAAATACAAATGAGCTGGGGTCATAGCTCAGTGGGAGAATGCTTACCTAAGATGTTCAAGACCCTAAATTCAGTCCCCAGAACCACAGCTGGATATGGTCATGCCTGTCTGCTATTTATAATTCCAATACTTGGGAGGTTGAGGCAGGAGGATTGTTGAAAGTTGAGGACAGCCTTGTCTCAATTAAATAAACATGGGCTGGAACTATATCTCAGCTGGTAAAGTGCTTCCCTGGAATGTTTGAAGCCATGGGTCTCACCTCCAACACTGTATAAACTGGGCATGGTAGTAAAAGTCTGCCATCCCAACACTTGGGAGCTGGAAGCAGAAGAGTTAGGATTTTGAGATCATCCATGGTTATGTAGTGAGTTCAAGGACAGCTTGGGCTATAGGAAAAGTTCAAGGTCATCCTTGCCTACAAAAGCATGGTCTAGGACTGGAGAGATGGCTCAGGGGTTAAGAGCACTACTTGCTCTTCCAGAGGTCCTGAGTTCAATTCCCGGCAACCACATGGTAGCTCACAACCAACTGTAATGAAATCTGGTGCCTTCTCCTGGCCTGCAGGGACACGTGCAGGCAGAACACTGTATAAGGTAGAGAGGTAGAAACTATTTCAATAATTAACAAAATACATCTGCAACTGGTTCCTGCAAGTTCTTGGGACAGAAATCTATCTGATCCCACCCTGTGAGAGAGAAGTGATGAGTGTGTTGCTCTTCCTGGGGTTGTGTGGGAGCAGGCTTGGGAACTGGGTAGGACTGCCAGCTGCCCTGTGAAGAGGGACTTGTGGTGATGATTTGTCTTCCTGGGCAGATGGAGGTTGGACAGTGATTCAGAGACGCCTAAACGGCTCTGTGGACTTCAATCAGTCCTGGGAAGCATACAAGGATGGCTTCGGAGATCCCCAAGGTCAGTGCTTCTCAGGAGGCCATAATCGGGGAAGGAGGAAGCGGAGAGGAGCCGGGCCCGCCTTATGGGATGACTTCTCTTGATGCAGGCGAGTTCTGGCTGGGCCTGGAGAAGATGCACAGCATCACGGGAGACCGAGGCAGCCAGCTGGCTGTGCAGCTCCAGGACTGGGATGGCAATGCCAAATTGCTCCAGTTTCCCATCCACCTGGGGGGCGAGGACACAGCATACAGCCTGCAGCTCACAGAGCCCACAGCCAGTGAGCTGGGTGCCACCAATGTCTCCCCCAGTGGCCTTTCCTTGCCCTTTTCTACCTGGGACCAGGACCACGACCTCCGAGGGGACCTCAACTGTGCCAAGAGTCTCTCTGGTAAGCAGGTTTTACTCCCACTGTAGCCCACATTCAGCCCCAAAGTGCATCCATGCCCTGCCCCCCTTTTCTCCTTGCCTGCTGTGTGCCCTCGGTCCAGGCATTGAATTAACCTCTTCTGTTTTCAGTTTTCCTGTCTTTTAAGTGGTCACAATCATGGTACCCACTTCATAGGGTTGTTTTGAAAATTCAATGAGAACAGTTGCAGGGGGCTAGCTGGCGTTGGGAAAAGCCAAGACAAACCTTTGTCTTGTTCTTTTTGAAATCTGAGGTACAGGATCTTGTACACATTAGCCAAGCATTCTGCCACCGAGCTATACCCCAGCCCCTGCTGTTCCTGTTTTAGTTGTCTGACACAGGGTCTCATATAGCTCTGGCTGGCCTTGAACTTGTTGTATAGCCAAAGGTGACCTTAAAGGGTCAGCCTCTAACTCCCGAGTGCTGGGGTAGCTAGCATGTGCCAACATGTTCCTTCCTGTGGTGCTGGAGATCATGCATGTTGGGCAAGCACTGTAACAACTGAGCTATAGCAACAGCCCCTCCTTGTGTTTCAGTTATACAGACAGGATCAAACTATGTGAAGCAGGGTAGCCTCAAACTTCCTGTCACCCTGCCTCAGCCTCCTGAGTGTTGTGATTACAATGTTGCACCAGCAATCCCTGCTGTACAGTGTAGCCCAGTTGGTAGAGAGCATATCTAGCATGAAGGCCTAAGTTCCATCCCCAACACCATATAAACCATGCAGGGTGGCACACAGTGGTAATTGCAGCACTCAGGAAGTGGAGGCAGGAGGAGCAGAAGTTTAAGGTTATCGTTGGCTACATTAGAGAGTTTGAGGCTAGCCTGACTACGGGCTTGTGAATTGGCTCAGCCAGGAAAGGTGTTTGCTTCCAGGCCTGGTGACTTAAGTTTGATCTCCGAGACCTACATGGTGGAAGGAGAGAACCGACTCCCACAAGTTGTCCTCTGACCCTCGCGCCACTGTGGCACGTGAACACCCACACACATATACTCAGGCACACAAAATAAATGCAATCAATTCTAAAGGTGTAAAATCCAAAGTTCACCCTGTTGCCAATTATATCCTCTCTCGGTATGGAAACAGGAGACCTTGACCATACATGTCTTCTGTTCTCTAACCCTGTAGGTGGCTGGTGGTTCGGCACCTGCAGCCACTCCAACCTCAATGGACAGTATTTCCACTCCATACCACGGCAACGGCAGCAACGTAAAAAGGGCATCTTCTGGAAAACGTGGAAGGGCCGCTATTACCCACTTCAGGCTACCACCCTGCTGATCCAGCCCATGGAGGCTACAGCAGCCTCTTAGCCTCCTCTCTGGAGTCTGGTCCCAGACTGAAGAGGACAGTGACTTTGGTTGTGGCCTTATGATAGGGTCACTCTCTGCTGAGGACAGGAGCTCCAAGTGGGGTTACCTGGAGTCTCGTGGACAGAGAAGAAGCCCATTACTGGAGCAACTGGAGGACCCCTTTTCTGTGTTGGGGGTCTGCAGATATTGTCTGGACTATTCAGAACAACAAGAAACAAATGGCCCAGACCCGGGAAGCATGAGCTCAAGGGGCATTGAGTCTCACTTCTTGCCTGTCAGAGAAGTCGGGAATGCAGAGGGACCACTCAGGTCAAACTTGCTGGGCCCTTAATGGTGGACTCAGTCATATTGACTGGCTGGGAGACAGGGTTCCCAGGAGCCCTGGATACACTCATGGTGCTGTTGTGGGTGCTGTGGATGAATGGGTGCCAACTGTGGTTACCGGGCACAGCTCACAGCATTCTTGGAATAAAAACAACCTCAGAACACTTTGTTCTCTGTTGTTTCATTTGATTTTTAAAGCGAACAGTTTTCAAAGTTGGCGTAAACATGTTTCTTGGGTGGAGACTGTATTCCCAGATCTCATAAGGACAGGACGGGTTTGTTGTTGCTTCCACCTCATTCAGTTTCCTTCTTTCAGTGCTTCATGATGTGGGTCTCTCTTATTTTTATTTCAAAATCTCAAAGTGGGGCTGAGGAAATGGCTCAGTGACTAGGAACACTTGTTCTTACAGAGGACCTGGGTTTGAGTCCCAGCACCTATGTGGCAGCTAACAACTATCTGTAACTTTAGTTCCAGGGATTCAGAGCCTCTTCTGACCTCTACAGGCTCCTGCACATATATGATATACAGGCTTACACTCAGGCACATACATAAAAAATATTTTTAAAAAATCAGCTGGAGAGATGGTTTAGTGGTCAAGACACTTGCTGCCTAACCCTGATGACTGAGTTGAAGCCACCAAACTTACACAAAGGTGGAAGGACAGAATGGATTCCACAAAGTTGTCATTTGACCACCACATGCAAGCCATGCCACATGGGCTGACACACAGACGTCATACACACAGTAATAATGCAGTTTTTTTATTTTTAAAAACTAAAAATCCTAAAACATATACTGTTCAATCATTAGGGAAGCCGGTGATAGAGAAATTAAAGCCCCTTTCTGATAGCATCAGAAGGGGCACACACATATCCCCAGCACCTGAGAGGTGGGGACAGGAGCATTGCCAAGTTCTAAGCCAGACTAAGCAACATAAGACTGGATCACAAAGGGAGAGGATACTGGGGATGCAGTCCAATTAGTCATACCTGGCATGCACAGGCCCTGGCTTCCATCCCCAGCACCGCTGCATAAATAGGGCATAGTGGTAGGTAACTTTTAACGCCAGTCTTTGGGAGGTGGAGTCATGAGGATTAGAACTTTGAGGTAACCTGAGAGTACTGGCTGGTTTTATGTGTCAACCTGATATGAGCCATAGTCATCAGAGAGGAAGGAGTCTCGGTTAAGGAAATGCCTCCGTGAGATCCAGCTGCAAGGCATGTTCTTAATTAGTGATCAATGGAGTAGGGCCCAGCCCATTATGAGTGGTGCCATCCCTGGGCATGTGGTCCTGGGTTCTATAAGAAAGCAGGCTGGGCAAGCCAGGGAAACAAGCCAACAAGTAGCATCCTCCATGGCCTCTGCATCAATCTGCCTCCAGGTTCCTGTCCTGTTTGAGTTCCTGTCCTGACCTCCTTTCATGATAAAAAGCAGCACGGAAGTGTAAGCCAAATAAACCCTTTCCTCCCCAACTTGCTTTTTGGTCATGGCGTTTCATAGCAGCTATAGAAACCTTAACTAAGACACTGGCTACAAGAAAGAAAAGGAAGAGAGATAGGCAAAATGAGATGAAGTTAATTTTAGAAACCTCTAAACCTGATGTCCTAACCCACGCTTGTCCTTTCAGCACTTGGGAGGCTGAGACAGGGCAATCAGGATCACCATGAAGTTGAGCCCAACTTGGGCTACACGGTAATACTCTGTCTCAGAAAAAACAAAAACTGTTTTGCTTTTTTTACATTTTTATTAATGTATTAATATGTGAGGGCATGCTTCTGCCATGATGCCTATATGGAGTTCAGAGGACAACTTGCAGAAATTGATCCTTCATGTGTGTCTCTGGAATCTTCAGACTTGGAAGCAACCTCCTTCACCTGTGGAGCCTTCTTGCCTGTGCCACAAAACATTTCTTAACTTGGAGTTGAACATGTGGTTCTACAGTACAGTGTATTTCTCACCTGCATCAGGCTATGAGTCTGATTCCCTAGTAACACACACTCACTCTCTTCATTGAATCCATTATATGCAAATATTATTCTTTCAACATACAATCAATATTTTACAGAACGTTTGCATTTTAAGATAGGGTCTCTGGTAGCCTAAGATGGCTTCCAACTCAGTAGGTAACTGCGGCTTGCCTTGATCCTCCTCCTGCCTCTACATTCTGACTGCTTCTAGGACAGGCTAGACCCACCATTCCCAGCTTAAACTGTACTGTAATTTCTTCTAAGTCATTAGACTCTTGTGTGTATTACCTGCTTGTGGTACTTCTTAGTTTGGATCAGCCACGCCACAGAGACTTAATACACATGAGCCCCTGGCCAGTGGCATAAATAGTAACACAAGTTTTTTGGTAAATTCTTTTTTGTTGTTGTTTTGTTTTGTTTTTCGAGACAGGGTTTCTCTGTGGTTTTGGAGGCTGTCCTGGAACTAGCTCTTGTAAACCAGGCTGGCCTCAAACTCATAGAGATCTGCTTGCCTCTCTCCCAAGTGCTTGGCCCTAAATGCAGTTTTGATTTGCATTTCTCTCATGGCTAGTGAGGTTGAATATTTTACCATGTTTATTGGCCACTTATACTCCATCCTTTCAGGACTGCCTGCTGGTTTCATCACCCAGTTTACTGATTGGGTAGTTTGGTTTTGTTATTGTTTGACTCATTTATTGGGCAACTAAACATTCTGAGGCCTATGCCAGGCATCTGGCATACTCTACTGGACAGAAAGATCTCTGCTCTTCAAAGCATCTCCCATGGGGACATGCTGATGTTCAGCAGGAGAGCTAATAGAACAGTATTGACACTGAAATGTGTTGCTGTCAATAATTAAGTTGGACACAGTTGTAAAGTGGCTCCCTCTCTGGCATATTGGGATATAAGCATGACATGGAGCCGGAGAAATGGCTCAGAGGTTTAAGGTGCAGACTGCTCTTACAGAGAAAGGTTCCTTCCTAGCCTTCATGTCAGGCAGCTTGATTTTGTTTGTAACTCTAGCTCTAGGGGATCTAAGGCTGACATCTAGGAGCACTGGTATGTATGTGTACATGCTCATACACAGATATACACACATACAAATAATTTAAAAATAAAAGAATTTTTCTGTTTAAACAATCTTTTCCTGTGTATTGTTGTATATATGTAAGGGTGCCAGGTCCCCTAGAACTGGAGTTAAAGACAGTTGTGAGTTGTCATATGGGTGCTGAGAATTGAACTTGGGTTCTCTGGAAGAGCAGCCAGGGCCCTTGAACTTTGAGCCATCTCTCCAACTCCTAAAAGAAGTAGTTTTGTAGTACAATATTTACAATAGAAACTGTCTGAAAGCCTTACATGCTAACAGACAATATGATACAGTAGGGTGGGAACAAACAGGAAGGGCCAGAGGCCACAGGCCTATACCGAGAGCCTTTCAATGGCTGCATCTGGACTTTAGCTGAGAGCCTTCTTTGATGGTAACAGAACAGGTGATGACAGGTCTGGATACCCCACAGCCCCATCCTAGAGGCTGCTGGGAGCTCACAAATACATAGAGGACATTCTTGTCTTTACACAGCAGTGGGAATTGCAGCAAGATCTCCAAGGGCTCAGTGTTTGCTGCCATCATAATGAACTCAGAGATGCCCCTGTTGAGGGTTTTGGTGGCCTCATTGGCTCCTTTCTAAAGCTGCTTGTAGTTACAGGACGGCTGAACAAGGTCCAGCAGCTTCTTGTTGAGGTGGGAATCTGCAAGGGGATCGGCCTTCGGATTCACATCAGCCTCCCTCATGACTGTGGTATACCCAATTTGCCGAGATTCGAGAACAGCCCACCTCAGACACACCAAAACACAGCACAAAAAAGAGGAGAGGAAAAAATCAAAAGAAATAGTTTTAAAAACATAAATACAGGGCTGGAAAATAGTTCATGGTCAGCTTAGTTAGCAGGTCCTAGGTTCAATACACAGAATGGGATGTTGGGGGAGACAAAAGTAAAAGTCAAAGATAATCCAACCTATACTGTGTCTCTGCAAATCTATACTTAGTATTTGTGCATTAGATATGTTTTATGTAAATTTTACTTTTAAAAATCAGACTATATCAACCATGCATACTGGCACATGCCTGAAATCCCAGCACTCAGGAGGCATAAGACAATCCAGATTATTCCTTAATGCCTAGTAAGGTGGAGGCCAGCCTGGGAGGTCTCAGAAAAACAAAAGAAGGACTGGTAGAGTGTTTTCAAGGCATGCAAGAAGTCTTGGGTTCCATTCTGAGGCTACATACACCAAACACAGTATTCCTGAGATGGCAGTATTTGGAAGGTAAAGGCATGGAGATCAAGAGTTCAAAGTCAAGGCTGCAAAGATGGCTTAGGGTTAAGAGGTGTCAGGTTTGATTCCCAGCACTCACATGGTGCCTCACAACTGTTCATAACTACCATTCTGGGGTTCCTGACCTCCTCTTCTGGCCTCTATAGGCACTGCATGCAAGCAAAACACTCATACACATTAAAAAATAATTAAAAGATTATTGTGTGTGCACACACACACATACAAAACCTTAACAAAGAAAGAGAGAGAGAGAGAGAGAGAGAGAGAGAGAGAGAGAAAGAAAGAAAGAAAGAAAGAAAGAAAGAAAAATACACCACTTTGGAGGGAAGGGAATTAGTTCAGGGCAGAGCACCTGCCCAGCACACACAATGAAGAATCACAAGTTTGAAGCCAGCCTATATCACACTGGGACCCTATCTCAAAAGCCAAAACCAAATGAAAACAATAACAACAAACCACCATTTAAGTTGGGGCTGTATCTTAGTGGTAGAGTATAGCACCTACCTGGCATGCATAAGGCAGCACTTGGTTCTATCCCCCAAAACTGACAGGGAAGGGGATGTTTTCAAAATGGAGTTCCATGTGTACTGTATGTGTGTATATGTGTTTGTGTGTGTGCATTTGTGTGAGAGTGGGTGGGTACACACTTGCAGATGTGGATACTAGAGGCCAATGGTGGTATATTCAGTCATTCTCTGATCTAATTTTCCAGGCAGGGTGTTTCATTGAACCAGGCTCATGGATTAGGCCAGACTGGCTGGCCAGGAAGTACTAGGGACCTGGAGATGGGTGCTGTTGCCTCAGTTTTTTAGGTGGAATACTGGAGGTTTAAAATCAGATCCTCATGCTTGCTTGCACAGC